ATGCATGCATACATACATACACACATGCATACATCCATGCCTGCATGCGTGCATGCGTGCATGCCTGCGTGGGTGCACACATCCATCCATTTATCCATCCATCCAGCCAGCCAAACTAAAGTACGTACATTCACATGCATATCCACAATTATGTACATAAGCACATGCATGTGCATGCATACATGCACAAGCGTACCCTTATACTTTTGCATGCTGTGTAAATAACCTGCATATACGCAGCGGCTGTAGAACACACCCTCCTAGAGACACACTCCGTGTACGGCACAAAGCTTCGTGGCCTTGAAGGTAGCGAGACGTCCCAAAGAGCCATGGCCTCAAAGAAGGGCTTATCGTACCGGCCTATGCACCCCAAAAGGGTCCCTTTGGGGGTTCCTTTTATAAAGGGATCTCTAGGGGTTTCTATAGGGTTGTCGTAAGGGTACTATAAGGGTCCTACGTGGGTAGTCGCCATTGTAGTTCCTTTCTTTGGTTTAACCAACTTTATATTCAGGATTCTATAGGTATACCCTAACCCCCCAGGTACCTACTATATAGGGCTCTAGGGGCTCTAGTACCCTATATAGTAGGTACCTGGGGGGTTTGGGTATAGCCCAACATGCAGCCGAAAAGCAAGCCTAAGCTCTGCAACCGCTGCTGAGGGTTGAGTATTGACTGGTATAGTTAGGCATTCGGATTCAAGGCCAAAAGCTAGCACTCTGAGCACCCTTCCCAAAACCCAAAACCCTGAAATAATAGTTGCAATGCGTTCGGATGTTGGGGCAACTATGCTCCTTGGACTGTGGGAAACCGGGATTCCAGAGACGTGCAGAATGGGGGGTGTAGGGCTTAGGGTTTACGGGTTTAGGGGTTTAGGACGTTCCTCCATTCAGGGCTCCCTTCGGGTTTAGGGTTTCATGCAGCGGCCCTTAATAATTAGAATAGGGTCTTGGGGCACAATATTCTATTAATATAATAAGGAGTCGCCAAAATTAGTATTGGTATTCATTTAGGCCCCTACATTAGGGTCAGGGGTCTCTTATTGACACTGCTTATACCCAGGATCCTACTGTGTCAGAACATGGAAGGCCCTCATTGGAGACCCTCTCAGAGAGCCCAATACCCCTTAAATAAGGAATTTATAATATTATGGTTTAGGGTCTATTCCTTGATTAAGGGTATTGGGCTCTCTGTACAAGTGTCCTAAAACCTAAACCCTTGACCCTAAACCCTTTAAACCCTAAACTCTTACGTCGGCTGCTGATGCACGAAGGCTCTGTGGCGCCAACGTGTGGTGCGCCGCGCTTCCCAACCTACCGCGAGAGAAGAGGTTTGGGGTTTACTTGGAGGTTCATGTAGGGTTCCTTCAAAGGTACTATAGGTTATATAGGGTTCAGGGTTCAAGGTTTAGGACTTAAGATTTAGGTTCACGGGTAGTAATATAAGTGGAGTTATAAGTCCCCCCAATATGGGTTATAACTACAGTTGCCCTACTTATCACCTCACTACTACCCATGAAGCTCCAAGTAAGGTGCCGGGCTGCGGAAACGTTGGGGTTGCGAGGTTGTGGGAACTCTACTTACAACACACAGCGCATCCTATCTCGGACACCCCTCGGAACCTTTCCCTGAACCGAGACTAGCATGGACCCTCGAAAACCTTCCTGTCCAGGGTTCCATGACGGCTTCTATATGGTTTCTATAAGGGTATCAGGGTAGTTCCCTAATTAAGCTAGGGTCCCTTTTAGGGCCTGGGTTGTAAAAGGCTGAGCCGTACTAGTTGATTTAAAAGGGGACCCCAGTATACGAGATAAGCATTCCCGGGAAGCGCGGACAGCTGATGAACTAGAACATGTACACAAATAGTGAAGACAACAGAGGTAGCATCCCTAAACCCCTCAACCCTAACCCCCTAAACCCCTAAACCCTACACCCTAAACCCCTGAACCCCTAAACCCTAAACCCCTAAAACCCTAAACTGCAGGATGGCATCCCTAAACCCTAAACCCTAAACCCTAAACATAAGCAACCAGGAGACCTTGAGCCCGGGCTCCAGACCAGCAACCCAAAGCCAAAAAACCCTGTATCCACAGTTTGGGCTTAGGGGTTAGGGCTTTGGGGTTTAGGGCTTTGGGTTTAGGGCTTTAGGGTTTAGGGCTTTGGGGTTTAGGGGTTCAGGGAACCCCAGAAAGTTAGAACATGGGTTTAGGAGGATTGGTGCTAGAATCCCCTGTGCTCTATATTCGGGGCATGAGGAAATTGATGTTCCGACTTTCTTGCTTCTACTATACTCCAAAAGCCCAAACCCAAACCCAGAAACACCAACCCCTTCACTCATGACCAGAAAGCTTAAAACCCTTCTAGATCCCTTCTAGTACACCTCACCCTATACCCTAAACCTAAACCCTGAACAACATGCACCTCACCCAAAGATGTACAGCTTTGTCGGTCGCCATGCACGGCTCCTCCCTGCCTCGACCATCGTGGCCGTGAAGTCGATCTTGTCCCCTCCAAGGTTTAGGGTTTAGGGGTTTAGGGTTTTAGGGTTTAGGGTTTATGATTCAGGGCTTAGGGTCCAGGGTTTAGGGTTAGGTGTTCGTCTTTGTGTGTGGGACTGTGCGGGGCTTCTTAAACTGCAGCGAGGTCTCAACAGGATTTTCCTGCTTGATACAGCGGTTCTTTACGGCTTTGTATCAGGTTTTATACTACACCCTAACCCCCCAGGGCATTGCCATACAGACACCGCTGTGCATAAGATGGAAGCAAAACCACACAGCAAGCGCTGTCAACAGTATAAGGGCGTACCTACTATATAGGGTACTAGAGCCCCTAAAGCCCTATATAGTAGGTACATGGGGGTTAGGGTACACAGTACCTGGTCGGAAGAGAAAAAGCACGGATGAACGCGAAGGAAGGCAACAACAAAGATCAGAGCCGCGAGTTGCAGCCTGCACAGCAATGTGGAGGTTTAGGGTTTAGGGTTGGGAAGTCCACAACTGCTGAACTGTTCAGGGTGTAGGGTTTGTGTGGTGCTGAGCCGTTCCTGAAACTCCTTGCTAGCTAGTTGTTCATATTTAAAGTATATACTAGGTTCCCCGGCCGCCCCTGCATAACAAGGGTAACCTGGTTCCTACTATTTGGTTGTATTAAGGGAACCCTAAAAAGAAAAAGGGCAAAAGGGTACGACCGGAGAACCTAGTATACCGTATGACTCTCGTCGGTTTGTTGCCGTTGACGATCACGAAGATGGACATAAGAGTGTCAGAAGAAGTCGGCCTCGTTTCAGATGCCGCATTGTGGCGCTGATTTCTTTGTCTTCCTTGAAGAACAGTACCTCGCAGGATGATGGCGTATGTCACCATACTCAGGGTTTAGGTTAGGCCACGATTTGCAGTTTATGGATTGATCTAGGGGCCTTAGTCATTAGAATAGGGTTTGGGGGGGTATCTTATACTAAAGTTATAATAAGGAACCTCCAAAACCCTATTGTAATTATTCAGGCCACTACATTAGGAGTTCGGGGTTTGCAAATAGGATTTCGGGCGTAGTTTCGGCAAGATTAAGGGGGTATATTCGGTTGTTTTTGCCGTAGAGCGACACGGTAGGCATTAGGCCACACCGTACCTCCCACGGCATGATTTCTGATTTCTGAACGGACGTCTGCCTCGAGTCAGCGGTCGCGGGCAGATTATCTTCATAACTGATAAATCCCTAACCCCCCAGGAACCTACTATTAAAGGCTCTAGGGGCTCTAGTACCCTATATAGTAGGTACCTGGGGGGTTAGGGGGTTTTGACCTGTCTTTTAAACCATGTGGGTGGTTGTCAAAATTACGGTCCCTTTTTGGGTCCTTATTATAATACGGCACCTAGTATTTAGGGTACCCCAAAAGGGACCATAACTTTGACAACTACCCATGTCTTATAATTAGGCTACAGGTTCGACATCTGCTAGTTATACGTCGGCCGAAGGTCTGGGATGCCCAGGAGTCTCGACGATTAAATTTGCTTTTGTTTGTTTAGGGTTTAGGGGTTAGGGCTTAGGGCTTAGGGCTTAGAGTTTAGGGTTTAGGGTTTAGGGTTTAGGGCGTATGGACAAAGCTTGGCCGAATACGGAAGTTCGGAAGCAGGCCTTTCCAGTGTATACCCGAGTGCTTTGTCCCTGGTGTGACGGCGCAGGGCATCCACAGCGAAGTGGGACGGACATTTATGGCCCAGGGTCTAAAACATACCTACACCCTGTGACGTTAATGGCATTTAGTAGTAACGTAGTCTCGTGATCGCCCTTTCATTAGGAACATCCCAGGGGATCCGCAACACCGGCCCTTAATGAAGGGAGGCTAGCTCTTCAGGATCTTTCCACTAGGGCCCTGATCTCGCATGCGAGCCCTAAACTCGGAGGGCAAAAAAGCACACCGACATCCAGCAAGAGGCTTTGAAATCAACATCCGCAGAGCCGCGGGGACACTATGGTAAACCCTGATCATACAGTTGGCGCACCAGATCCGATGCGTCCCTCTTCCTGGAAAATTGCGCGGGCTCCATGTCGACCTCAGCTGCATGGTGAGATATAGGGGCCTTCTTTTTGACACAAATGGGTTGCTTGGTCTAAAGAGGATATGTATGTGTTAGAGTATACTGACGAATTAGGCTGGCGGATAACTTTGCTAACTATTCAGGTCTCTAGACGTGTTGATTACTGGGCTGACTGGGCTCCTAGGCTGCAGGGTTTTTATAGCTTTAGGGTTTAAAGCTCATAGGGTTTAGGGGTTTAGGGGTTTAGGGCGGCTTAACTATATCGGGTTCATGGATGTGTCATGTAAGGCTCTCCCCCATTCCCCAAAAAGAAACAAACCCTAAACCCTAAACCCTGGACCCTATAGGCCCCATAGGCCCTAGACCCTAAAGGAACCCTTCTAAAGCAAGAAAAACACCTGGGAAATGTCGCCGTCCCGGAATTCCGGACTTTGGCGAGGTACCGAGCCGTGAGCACTGAAAACTCGTTCAGGGAAACAGCATTTAGGGTTTAGGGGTTTATGGTTCAGCGTTTAGGGTTTAAGGGTT